TCGGAGGTTTTTGGTTAGCTAGGCCTTCAAAAGATCGAAAGACAACCCACTCCTCCTCCAGCTGCCCTAGACGTGTATCACGAAGGGAATCATCCTCCTAAGGAAACAAAGCCTGAGACGGAGCACACGGTTACGGAATGTCAGTCGCTCTCATAACGCTCGTTGGTTCTTAACAAAGTGGTCCTTCGGAGCGCACAGGATCCTCAGCGAAGCCAAAACCCACCGCAATGACGATATCGGGAGCCCCTTGCTCAACTGGAGGAGTTGTAGTTCCCTCGTTAGAGGATGGAAACATGAACCGGCCCCATCCATAGGTAATGAAGGAGAACGCTTATCCTCTGGTTTCTTTTCTCTTTGATGGGGGCTGAGAGGCAGGTTGGGAAGCATTTATCACAGGCAAACCAAAAGCAACACCTAGCTCCCCTCCCGCTGGGTCTGGGGGAAAAAGATCAAAAGCGGGCCCCTGGCGCTGCTCCTCCCTCAACTCTGTAGAGGTTGTGGGGCGAAGGGCTTAACCTGCTTGTTCAACTTCCGAAAGACTCCTACCAAGAGTGTGATGTTTCTACATATAAAAATCATCCCCCGCCGTCAAAGAAACCTCCACGGAGTGATTGTTATTCAAATCAGAAGATCCAACTTCCATCATAGGGTCAAGAGCACTCGCCTCAGTACTGCACACTTCACAGGTTGTTCGATCTTCGGGCCAAACTTCGCCCTCTTCTTCATGGTCAGGAACACTAAAGCTCGGGTTTTCTCACTGGTAAACTTTGGAAATCCGCCACCCTCCATGCCCTTGCATAGCCAAAAGATACAGAAGATGAATTGAAACGAAGGTCAAAAGATTAGTATCCACAACACATATATAACGATTATGACACGAAAATCAATAAGTAATTAATTATTGCATATTAAATAGTTATGAATACCGTGAACCTATTTCAAAATTTAGATTTCCTCGTCTTTATTGTAGCTGTCGCCATCAAGGAATAAGAGAATTGTGGAACTCAAATACGTTCATAAAAAACGTGTCGACACAAATCACAAACATCATGAGGGCAAAGAAAGAGATGACATCACATGCTCAATTTGGTCGGTTCTTCGCACTGTAAAAACGCCCGCCTCAAGCGAATAGGGGAAGAAATCTTCCCTAAGGGATCTAGCTGATCGAACCTAATCAGATGAGCTCGTTCCCATCTAAATAAAGTAAGGAAGGAGGATGGGCCCCTCGAGGCCCAAGATAGTTGAAGGAGACCATTGACAAATAATCGTCCGACCTCATGATCGACCAGTCACCTGGCCGCCAGGCCTCATGACTGCTCGGTCTTCAGTTGCCCGACCTTGTCACCATCTTATCATATCATTTGGCCCGCAAATCAAATTTATGTACAAAATAAGATACCCGTGTCATACCAGGGTATTTTAGGGATGTAATAAGTTATTGTACATTGAACTATTCATATAAATAGGGGAATCATTTTATGAATTTTATGTTCAATATTGTGTTGTTGCTCTCTCTCTTCTCTCTCTCGCCCCACAACGCTAAAATTCCTTGGGTGTGTCTTCCAGATAGATTGGGATTCAACAACAACATTTCAAAATGCTAAAGAAAACAAAAAAAAAGAATGGTCACACAAGTGCGAGCAAGCATTCAAGAAGCTGGAGGATTCTCCAGTGTCATCACCACTACTCAAAAGTTAAAAGTCGAAAAAGTCTCTTTATGCTTGTTAGTTTGGTCTAAAGCCATCAGCTTAGTGTTGGTCCGAGAGGAGCTGGAAAAACAATTTTTTTTTATTTATTAACTAGTCTTTAGAAGCGTCGAACTCGAGTATCCAATTATAGATAAATAAACATTTGCTTTTATTCTTTATGCTCGCAGGCTTCAGTCATATTTTCAAATTGATCCAATATGGGTCATCCAGATCACCCTCTGAAACCTTTTCTCAGACGACTGAAGCATTACGATTGGCTCCTCAAACAAGCGGTGGAACTCAGCTAGTTTGACATCTTCTGCATGCCCCAAATGCTGATAAAGGTGCAAGCAATAACAAATTTCTTGGTAGATTTCTTCGAGCTCATGCATTAGGCTCATTTTTAGAATTCTCATTTTATTTGTATTGATAAAGAAATTTCATTTTGATATGTTTATCTATATTGTAATTTATAATTTTCAACCTACTAGAATCTCAATGAGTGCCATAAAATTTTTTTGAGTCCCCTTATTATAACTCTATAAATTCTCTTTTATAAAAAACTCGAGTCATGACCCAACCAATTATATTTAATTGATATACAAGCTTCAATCAATTTACATGAGTATATTTTGTACTTACTCATCTTAGGGTGTTGTTTGCCAACTTTAGGAATTTAAGTTATTAGGATGTACTAAATTCTATAAATTTGGATTTAAAAAATCCTGAAATGGTTTAATCCTAAAAATTGT